GAGAGAAAGCACACAGTTGGTAAACGACATCCAACTCACAATACTCAAAGTCTACAGTTCTAGGGGGACATGGTGAAATAATAGCCCTAGCTGGGCTGAGAGGGATACAAATTGTCCCCACCCTGGAATCAAACTCAGGTCTCATGCACGTGACTGCCAAGTGTTTAACTGCTGCACCACTATGTACTTGGTTTGGGTTCTTTGGTTTTTTTATTTAAAATAATTTAGTAAGAGTTTTACACCTTATATTTACACAAATAGGTCATAGAAGTGCTGAAGATTGGAAGTGTTACTAGAGAGTAACATACAAAGAGATGAAGGAGGAGAGATAAGGACGATAGATGTTTGATAGGAAAGAAGGAGCAAACCACAGCAGAGCAGCTGCCAACCACCCACCAAACGTCGGCCACTTACTGGAAGAGTTGGGAGCTGTTGCTTCGGCGAGGGCGGCCAATGTGGCAAGTACAGATGTGGAACTCTGGTCAGTCGAGTCGTCAGGCTCTGACTTGATCACTGTACAAATAGACAAGACACACAGATAGACACATTTACTTCAAAAACAGCGGCGCTAAACTGAAAGAAAATGAAGTCCCGGATTTTTTTCTTTTTGTGCAACTTCGCTAGACCCAAAACCCAGCTAAGCAAGAAAAATCTGGCGTTGTCGCAGGTTTTGGTTAAAGCGGTATTCATTTTTTAAACAAGTGGTCAATTTGTGGTTTATGACGCTTGTTCTAGTAAGCATTTTACGGCATTTACAACACAATTAGGTCTTATAATTACCATACAAAGAAAAAAAGGAGGAGAGATAAGAAAGATAGATGTCTGATCAGCAAGAAGGAGCAAACCAAAACCAGAGCATCCACCAACCACCCATACGAAAATTTTAATCAGGGGGAAAAAAAATAACCAACCACGTGTGAAACCTGACACTTTACTCAGGAAAAACAAAACAAAAAAAACCCCGTTGATTTGGCCACTCACACTTATCGGTGTCGATGACCAGCCCCTCGACGGCCTCGCTGGTCGACACCGTCTCCGTGACCAGCGTCTCGGGCGTTTCCATGGTGATGGTGTCAGGGTCCTCGATGACGCCCGAGGCGTCGTGGTGTAGCTGCAGAAGCTGGGCAATGTCAGTGCGACCGTTGGCCAGTGCTATGTCCACCGGGGTACGGTTAAACTGGGGGGTGGGGACAGAAGATTGGAAAGGAGAG